CCCCCATCCTTCAAAGGAAGTCTGAAACTTTAAATTCTTGCGCCCCACGGCCCAATACAGTCTGCCAGACTAAGTTGCCTAAGCGCAACGTTCCCTATGGGGGCATGCTAGAGCAGCGGTTCTCGACCTGGGGGTCGTGACCCCTTTGGGGGTCGAACGTCCCTTTCACAGGGGTCGCCTGATTCACAACAGTAGCAAAATTACAGTTATGAGTAGCAACGATAGTAATTTTATGGTTGGGGGTCACCACAGCATGACGAACTGTATTTAAGGGTAGCGGCATTAGGAAGGTTGAGAACCACTGTTCTAGAATCTGTGAGGACTGGCGGGTTTCCTGGGGCGGCCTGGGCGGGGAGCCAGAGGTGTGAACCGGGCCAATAAGTACTCATCTTGATAGGTTTTGTGACACATTGTCCTCCTCCCATCTTGCCACCTAGGTTTTAGATCTTAACTCCCTCTGCCCATGTTCACGAACGCCTGCCTAGAACGCAGCAGCTGCGTGGCTTCCTGAGAGAAGGGGTACCTCTGAGTGGGTGGGGCCTCTCCGTGTAGTCTTATCAAAAGATTTTAAAAAGGCTTGTGTAAACAGCCGTCCCCGGGAGACAGCTTGTGCAGGAAAGTCGAAATTCCTCCGGTCGGGACAGAGCCAGACGCAGGCGTTTCTGAAAGGAAAGGCACACGTGGCAGTCAAGTCCCCAGAATTGAAGTCTCAGTGGCATTTTTATTCTTTCAATAAAAGACTAACAATCTCAATCCGCAGAAGACAGTCCAATAGGGGTCATCACAAGATCGGGCACTGACAGGTTATCAATCAGTTGAGGGGGAAATAACCCTCTTCGCCAACGTGTTAAGGTATCTAATTTTGGGGGTGGGGGAAGCGGTTTAAGACTCTGAAGGCATTATGAGAAAAAATCATACCTATCTCTCGCATACACTGTTTTAGCAGATACTACGTGGACTTCTCTCTTGGCTGAGCCGCTGATACACAGGCAGCGGCCGTCACCACACCCCAAGGCCGCCTCCCTCTCCCAAGCACTCTCACACCGTGCAGGGCAGCTCAGCCCGATGGAACATCAAATCTTTTTACCTGGCCGTGTGGTTAGTGATTGGTACCATCAGCAATCAGCTAACTACACTGCCTGGTAACCAGACTCACAAGAAAGTCAGTTCCGATCACCAACTGCAGTCTTGCGGTCGTGCTGCCCGACGTGGCGACAGGGCGCACCCTCGGCTAGGCGGTCGCTGACTTTCGCGGAGAGGTTGCTGATGAGCCCGTGGAAACAAGGAAAACAAAGCACCGCGAGTCACCTCCCCCCTCGCCCCTCCCCCTTTCAACCTTCCAGAGCAGACGCCCCAAGAAGCGCCCATGCCCTTGTATGTTGAGTGTCTTACAGGGCAGGCCATTAAATCCCGCTTGCAGTGTGCTTTCCCTCGACCAGCCCCGGCCCCGCCGACAAGAACCCGCCCCAGGTTCCCCGGTTCACAAGCACTTTGGCGACCGGTCGCCGGGTGGGGACGAGTGCCCACGCAGCACCCTCATCGCTGCGCAGCGCACCCCGGAAGCCCCTGGCTCAGCGCGAGGGCCGGCGGCGTCCTGGTCCCCGCGCCGGCGGCGAGTGATGCTGTGCCTTGTTTTGATGGCAGTGGAGTTAGTGATTGTAAGCGCCAGAGGACAATCAGCTAATTACACTGCCTACAAACCGAGCACCGGGCGCCCGCGGTCCGCAGCTCCCGGACGGTCCGCAGCGCCGACGCGGGGTCTCGGAGGGGTCGGGCCCCGGCTCGGCTCCACGTTGCTCGCAGGGTGAAGCTCCATCGCGCTTTGGGCGCGAGGCCCAGGGCGAGGGGGCTTCCCGCGCCCCGGGACACGCTCTGCCCAGCGGGCACCCCGCCGGGCTGAGCCCTGCACCCGACCCCAGGCGACCCGGGGAGCGCCAGAGCCCCCGCGCACTGCCTGCATTCCCGCAGTCTTCCCCGGCTTTGAGCCCCCACCCACCCGCAGGTTCCGTTCCCTTCTCTTTCTCAGAGACCCCACGCCCACTACCCAGGGCCTCCGCTCAGAAACCTCGTCAGCTCCCAGCCCAGACTGAGAATCCGGCCTCTCAGCCCCCGTGAGCTCCGTGGCTCCCAATGGCCGAGTGACCGTGGCCTTGGCCGGCCAACCGCCCTTGGAACCCTGCGGGTGAAGGGGGCGGGGCAGGCGCGAGACGGGGTGGAGTGGGGGAGGGGAGGGAGGTGCGGGCAGTGGGCAGAGGGCGGGCCCCAGGAGGACCTAGGAGATGGGGCACAGATTCTTGAGTAGTTTCTGCCCACGATGTAGCTGGAGGGGTGAAGAGTTTCCCCCAAAACCACCCATCTTGTTTTCCTGCCCATTCCTTTCAGAGAAATGATTTCCAAACCCCAAACCAACCCCACTACCCACAGCGCAGGCCCGATTTTTCAGATGGAGGAAAGCTTAGGTCAGGTCCTAAGACGGTCTTTTGAAGGCTCTCCCCGTGTTTGTGTTTTCCTGGGACTTGGCCTTCCTTATACTTCTAGAAGGCCATTCCATGAGGCTTCTAGTAAACCAGCAGGCCAGCTATTTAGTTAAGATCAAAGAGAGGCAGGCCCTCTGGAGATCAAGGTCACAGTTTTGAACTCTCAAGGTCAGCTTTCAGTAAAATTATTCACATATCTTCAGTGCATTCAGCACCTAAGAGATGACCATTCTGCCTTCCAGGTGTAACATGATGACTGGCTAGGTCCCATTCAAGACAGATACTTGTTGAACACATCACTAAGCGGTGGAGACTTGGCTGCTAGAAATGGAAGCGGGAGAGAGCTCAGCCATGGAAGGTTCAAGGAGGATTGGAGCAGGGCCGGATGTTGGAGCAAATTTGAATATTTAGGGTGAGAGTTGTGGAGACCAGAGAAACAAAGGTGTGACATTTTTCCATTCTTGGAATTCCATTTCTGAAGATGTAGGTGTGTGTGTGTAGTCGGTAGGCAGTTACAGAGGACTTCTGGGAGACTTCTACTGACCATTGTTTGGTTTGCCCTTCTCTGGGCTCCTGGGCTCCTTCAATGCACGAGTCTGGAGAGGAGAAGGAATGCTGTCCAATAGCACTCTTTGTGGATGGACCCCAGTGGGTAAGAGACTCCCTTGAATATAATTTCCACCCACTTAGTATAGTGCAGTCCCTGTTGACCTGAAGGCTAGTTTAACTCAGCAGCTGTGGATGGACTCCCTACACTCAGTAAATGGCCTCAGGGATGCCACTAGTAGCCCCAGGTACCCTGGATTGTTCAAGACAGATTACAAAAGTCACGCTATCAAACACTTGCTGCGCCTGAGTGAGTCGGAGCATTATCTTTTGGATGGAAGGCAGCACATTTCAGGCAGATGTACAGTTTGCTCTGTGGACCCACCGTGAGGAGGAAGAAGCCACAGCGAAGGCTCAGTAAACCGCCACACGTATAAAATGCAGAGTCTACCACCTGCCAGAGCTGATTAACCTCTGCGCTACCCCGAGAAAACTGCAGAGCCTACTTTGGCCTACTTATACTTTATACATTTATACTTAGATCAATACAGACACTTTTGAGTAGAATAGCCTCTGTTCTACAAGTATGCAGACTTCTAAAATCTCTTTTATAGGTTACAACATGGTTGTCAAGAACAATTCCACTCGTTCAAGTGGTTACTTGCTGCCCTCAAACTCCATATTTAATCCTTCTTCCCGATTGGTAGTTTATGAGGATTAGTTGCATTTTAGATGTCTTACCTGAGTTGGATTGCTGCCATCCCAGGCAGGAGTTGTGGTAGATGTCTTGACAAATTAGACTTTTAAAACTTCAAAGGCAATTAAAAAAAAAAAAGCATACGTATATAAAAGCCTTCCAGAAACATTTGCCTACTGAAATAATTATTTTAAAAAATGCAGTGTCTTTAGTATGAAATACAAGTAAAAATTTTAAATAACGACAGCAAAAAACAAAAAATGTGTGTGGCCCAGTTGTGTTCCCATTGAAAGAAATGGGGGAGGTGGAAAATGAATACTTGTTCTTATGGTTGCTGTTGATTTGGCCTGCAGTTACTAGAGAAACTCCAAGGGACTCATTCCCTTTATGGTTCATGTCTAGGCATGCCTGGAGACCAGGGAGACCACAATTTAATCTAAGTAAGAATGCTTGTGGTGTTTTAAATGCCCAAACAGAAGATTGCGTTTGTTTTAGACCGCACCAGGAAGGCACCTTTCAGGAGAACTGTTTACTGTTTTAATTTATGGGCCTTTGGTGCTTGGGAGGTTGGGAAGGGGGCCCGGGCAGGGTGGGGACAAGGATCAGCGGAAGAGATGAGGTTAGAGATTAGGAGGAAACCAAGAGGAGTCTTGGTGATTTCATATTGGTTCCAACACTCCCAGATAAAAGACTAAAGTGATGGGAGTTGGGGCTGTGCTTCAACCCATGAAAATTTACAGTCTTAACCTTTTTCTATTTTGCACCATTCTTAAAAAAAAAAAATCTCAGATATTATGAGGAGAAAAAGCCAAGAATCAGATTAATTAGAAATTATTAGATTTTAGCAGCCTCTTCTTAAACTTGTTTTAAAAATGAATATTTCCTCTTAGGAAATATAAAATTGTGTGTGTTTTTTTAATCTGTATCCATAAATGTCAGACGACCTTATTAACATTCATGATGCTATTCTTAGGAACTACTTTATATCTTGCCTTTAAAGAACTAAAAATCAATGAGACTCTAATTATGAGAAGAGATTTTCTTTCTAACTAAAGTGAATTGCTAGCAATTTTCATAATATCATGCTTCTGGTTCCATTTTGTTGTACTCTCATTATTAGTAAAAGTATACCAGATTCTTAATTAGCTTCTTGATGATATTCATTGATTAATCAATGCTGTTGCTTTCAATAAAAAATGTGAATTTCGGTTTTGCTAGTCAGAAACTAACAGGACAGGTTTTATAATCCAAGTTGCACCTGCTTTAGTTATGACTTCATAGCTAGGAGTCAACACAATACTTATTTAATATCTTTAGGTAATACAGTCTCTAAGGATTTATCGTGTGGTTGTGTACCTAGATAACTAATTAAGATCCAACCTTCCCTCGCCCTCCCCCAAACCAAAAATGAAACCCCACTGCCATCAAGTCTATTGCAACTCATAGTTTCTGAGGCTGTATATCTTTACGGGACCAGAATGATCTCAACTTTTTTTTTCCAGAATGATTGGTGGGTTTGAACTGGTGACCTTGTTGTTAGCAGTCCAGCGCTTACACAGAGTGCCACCACAGCTCTTTAGTAATTAAGACAGGACATTTATGAAGTCATCTACAGGAAAGGACAAGACAAAGACACATTGCCCAGATGAGGGAGATCATTAACATGAGGTCATAAAGGCATCCAAGGGTTTACCGAGAACCAGAGATTTCCATAAGGCACGTAGGGCAAACTGTCACAAAAGCACGATTAGCAGCAGATCCATACATCCCAGTTGCAGGCAGGACCATAGAAAGTGGGAATGGGACCATGAATGAGACTCACACGTTATAGACAGAAGAGCTTACAAGGTTGGTCCAGAGCCCTCCAGTCAAGGCAGTCAGGATGTGACTCATGACCATGTGATTTTGGTACTCAAAAGGTCCATCAGGGGCATGTCCAGGCAAGTTCCTAAGGGTGAGGGGACTGGCTAGGTAAAGGTAGTAATTTCCGCTCTAATATACTCTGCCAGAGGGAAGGCCACTCACCCAAAACACCAAACTCACTGCCATTAAGTCAATGCTGACTCTCAGTGACCCCCTGTGGGTTTCTGAGACTGTAACTGTTTACAGGAGTAGAAAGCCCAGTCTTTCTTCCTCAGAGCTGCTGGTGGTTTTGAACTGCCGACCAAGCGGATCACAGCCCTACACGTAACTACTCCACCACCAGGCCTCCTACAAGGCCATTCAGACTGCTG